GACATATTAAGGAAAGAATGCTTGGAGAATATAATTTGTAGAATGAATTATTGAACGAAGGTTATTCGTTATCATAACTGGTACTTTGGATACAGAATGTTTTTCAAACATGGTGTTGGGTGGTAATTAAAAACGCATAAGAATTTATTTTTAAATTGGAAAAAAGAATTAGTCTGGAGAAAATGTAAAAAGAAGATTGTAAGTTAATAAAGAATTAAGAAAATTGAAGCGGGAAGATTGTTAACTTGGAGAAGAAGAATAACAAAGAGAAACTAAAAGAAAGATAAGTAAGGTGTAGTGATACAACAATGATTATCTACTGCTACAATGTAGCATGTAGTAGTCTCCTACCCCATCAGCAGGGAAAATAATGCCAGTCAGTTCTGACCCTAGACAGATGCCGCTTTCCTTATCTCTGACAGCATAAGAAATAATGACTTCCCATGACTATCTCTGGTGAAATAAAGTGGCATTCAAGTTAGAGAAATCTTCTTTCACTTGATAGCATTCCACCTTTGCTTATTAATCTCTGTGTGATAACTTAGCAATATGGGTAACTTAGTTTTGAATACCTTCTGCTTGGTCCCTGTTTCGTATTTATATGTAAAAGTACAACAAACAGAAAGGCTTTTTGGTCGCTTAATACCATTCTTTCTCAGTGTTAGTTCATCCAGTCATCTCTATTATTGCTTGCTAAGTCTTGAAACATGTTATATAGGAATAATGTCTTGCTACTGACACTAGAGTTTGAACACAGATCACTAGAGAGAAAACACAGGCGATCACATATTTCAAGTGTGATTGCCTGTGTTTTCTTAGAACACGTGATGGTAAAGAAAATATATGTGGGAATTAGCATGGCGTCTAATTGATCACTATTTCTATTCTATCCTCTATTACTATATGGATCATCCTTTCTACACTATCCTCTATCACTACTCTATTCACTATACTATTTCTTTATTCAGATCACTATTTGGATGTTACAATTTCAAGCGAGTATTATCGAGCAAGTACTATTAGTGCAAGTGTTATTCAAAGGGAACTGACACCAGTATTGTTCAATGGCATTATTATAGTTGTATCTGTGATTACAAAGTCTCTATTACAATGAGCATTATGAAAATGATGAATATTCCTTGATATTACAAACGTGTCAACGAGTGTTCATTGACATTGCAAAAAAACATAAAATGACAATGAGACAAAGAAAAGGGATAGATAAAGAAAAAATGAAGCTTCGTTTAAACTAAAAATATTTTTTTCGGTGTAATATATTCATATAAAAATCAAGTTTATTCATTTCGAAATCTATATGTGTCACTAAATATATGAGCATCACACCAAAGATAATGTGCCGTAGCCTTTTTGGAACTCCAATCCTTTAACTCAAATGAAAGTGCTCACTTCGACACCCACAGCTTATATAACAAAACAGACCTGGCTGTATGCCAAAATAACAGTCATAAAACATCTTCTGACCAATATGAAAAATCCCACACAATTTTCGCTGCAGCCGTTTCTGAGTCACTTCTTTTATGAAATTTGTTTCATTCATTTGTTGGTTCTTTCAAAGCTTTTTATATTTCATTTGCTAGAATATATCAATTTTATGTTGCCATTTAACTTCATATCTTGGGCATCATTCTGTACATGCATATATATATATATATATATATATATAGATAGATAGATAGATAGATAGATATATCAGTCTAATAGCTCTAACCCACCAAAGTGACACCGATAAGAAATTTTCCTGTCTCCTCCTTCCGTTATAAATTTATTTACTCTCTGTATCTCGCATTACCATACATACTCGAGTATAGTGCAAGTTTTATGATCATTTCTTTTACACAAAAAATAGGATGTTGCACTATGCGTAAGTAATTTCTGGAAGAGCTTAAAAATAATGCATTATATAAGGTATTTATTGATTTCAAGTGGCATACATAGAGGATGGGGTTTTGCTCTTCATGTAGCGATAAAATGAAAGAAACTGAAGCAGTGTATGAAGCAGGCCAATAGTAAAGGATCTACTCTAGTCATGAATGAAAACAAAGTATCTAAATCTTTGTATTAGATATTTTAAAGTGTTTTTTCTTCCCATTTTTGGGTAGCTTTATACAAAAAAAAAATAATGAAGACCATTTATTTTCTCTAAAATATACCCATGATGATGCCCAGTACCACAATATTTAACTACTATGCCTACTAGTGCTACCTAGAAGCTGAGGTCAAATTATACACAAGCTGCATAAAAAAAAAAAACAGGTTTCTCACCAAAAAAGATTCAGGAGTCATACTATACATTAAATCAACTTATACACAAGTATATACACTGATTAGGATTCCTACGCTTAAAAAGACTCATTTTATTTATCATTTCTTTGTTGCAGCACTGCTTCTAGTTGGACTAAAAGCAGTTGTCAAAAATGTCATACATGCAAATGACTGGTCGTCATTGACAGTACAGGTGAAAGGAAATGTAATAAATTTCAACGAAACAATATTTACACGTGTTTTACTTAGCAATTGACAGATTAACAAACGAGAGAAAATACACTTTTATGTATGTAAATATAGCTGTAAAGAAAGATGACATTAAAACTTAGCAATCAATCACTTTCTCGCAGATGTGGTGTTGCTTCCCTCTGTCTATTCTACAAATATTTTCATGGCAACTGCTCTGACAGGCTACTTTCACTGGTGCCCATCTGCATGAATTTAAGCTTGCTACTAGTTTGGCATCTCAGTCCCACCCTTTCACTGTCAAAACAGTTAAATGTAACCACATCTTCAACTCCAACAGCTGCTTCTCTTACACTTCCTGACAGTGGAACTCCCTTCCTCTTACTTGCTTCCCTGATAGCTAATATTCAAATGTAATGTCCAGTGACATCTTCTGATGCCTTGATCCTGATCCCCGTCTTTATCTATATCCTTTCCTCAAACACCCCTCTTTACTCTTGCTCTCACTCTCTGTAACCCCTTGCATGTTAGTGGAACTCCCGCCTTGCTTGGGGTAAAATGTTAGAAGAAAAACAAAACACACACAATCAATTATGTATATCTTTCCACAACCATAATTGCTATATAACTGTAAAATAGACAGAAGGGAACAATATCAAATCAAAGGAGCCAATGACAAAATTAAACACCAAGGGTCCCGAGCAGCCTTCTGGATTTCAAACATACTTCAGATTTTCAATTTAATAAATAGCCAATAAAATCAGATCCTGCCAATAAATAAACCCAGGCCTCTGGAACCTATACGAGACCATAAAAACCAAACATTCATTCAGCTCTGCAGAAGGACTGACAGCTGTAAAGAGACACAAGTCCATCTCAGCACTTGCCTTTCTCATCAAGGTCACAGCAGACTCAACTTTGATCTTGTCTTCCAACTCCACTTTCCCTCTTCCTCACTAAAAGACTATTCATGTTCGTTTCCTTACAGTCAAAGAGAAGAACTTTCTAATTTTTTATTTCATAAGTTATTTACTTATTTCATAAGTTTCATTATTACAGTTAAAATTTGTGTATCCTATGTTTAAATAAATATCATTTTATTTGAACATGCAACAATCTTTTTCCTCATTTTTTTTCAAACAGTGATCCATGGAATCTTTCCCCAACACAACATGCACAATTTTATTAACTCATAAAAACACTGTTCCGTAAAACAGATTTCAATAAAAATCTCATAAATAAGTTTTTTTTGAAAAATATAGGCACTTCAAATATTTTTGTGAAATCACCTCAGATATTTAAATTAAATGTCATTCACGAATGCATAATGTTGACAATTTTTCAATAATGTATTATTCAATAAATACATCGTACAAATCTATCACGTCTTACTGGTGTCAGCTTAAAAATCCTACTCCTGGAATGCCTTTGCAGCTAGTTGCACAAATTCTTAATAATAAGCCTTTACTTTATAGAGTAAAACGGGGGAACAAAAGGACTGCGTCTAGACCGAATTACGTCGACATGTCTAACGTTTTGTGGCTTGTGGATATGCAATAAGCCAGCATTTTCTCAAAACAGGAAATAACGTGTTGCCCCACAACCAAACACAACATATCCAAAACAGCTGTGTGTAAAATGTTACAAAGTTATTATGATCTGCCATATTTTAATATCCTGGTTGCAGTCAAAACGGATGCTAACACAGCAAAGACTTCAATTTATTATCACTATTTGCATATTGAGTTAACGTGGTTGAATGTAAATGATTAAAAAAATGGCGGACGGCCAGATAACAGTCGACTTTTGCTATGAATTTATCCTAAGTGGAAGGTTGGCTGTCAACAGCCTGAAAAAGATGCTTTACTTTCACCTTTGCAATAAAGTGATATCATGTAAATCTATTCATTTATTCAATAAAAATGAGATGGTAAGTTAATGTGAGAATAAAAAGAACACATCTAAAATGGCGTCGTGCTTGCGGTTATTTCAAAACAAAACGATAAAACCACCCAAACATTTTGTTGCACTCTTTGTAGCCAAGGATATTTTCCCTGCCAGTTGAATGCACGAGGAGTGAAAGAAAGTGAACGGATACAAATGACTGGTTGCTGGTGATTATTGCCGAAAAAGGAAACAAAATGCAACAAAGAGGTTTGAAAGGAAAAACAGACAAGAAAATAACCGTGTCTTTGAATCAACTCTTCCAGTTGATGGATTGGTAATGGTCCTTACCAGATTGAGTAAAACACCCCATGGGCTTTTGCATATAATTAACAGAGGAGGGGAAGATTAATGTAACAATCTTGAAGAGTTTATAAAATATTTTTCATGCAATAGATTATATATATATATATATATATATATATATATATATATATATATACGTGTATGTGTGCATTCATATATGTGTGCATGTGTATATAAAAAAGACAAATCGAAAATCATTCTTCACCAATGGATTTTGTGTATTGAGGAATGTTATCAAGGTAAATGTGTAAATTTTTATTTTGTAATCCGTATTAAACTAAAGAAAAAAGGAGGGCAGAAAAACCAAAGGGGTGATAGATGAAAAAGACAAAAAGGGAGGCAGCAGACAAAATTGAAGCAGTAGTCAAAAAGGACATAAGGGAGAAAGGTAAGGAAAGACAAAAGGGAGAGAGACATAGAATAACAAAAGGGAGATAGATATAGAAAGACAAAAGTGAGAAAGGTAAGGAAAGATAAAAGGGAGAGAGAGATAGAAATACAAAGGGGGAGAGAGACATAGAAAGACAAAAGGGTGGTAGGCAAATAAAGGCAAAAGGGAGAAATGTAAGGAAAGACAAAAGGGAGAGAGACATAGAAAAACAAAAGGGAGAAAGGTAAGGAAAGACAAAAGGGAGAAAGGTAAAGAAAGACAAAAGGGAGAGAGAGATAGAAAGACAAAAGGGTGGTAGGCAAATAAAGACAAAAGGGAGAAATGTAAGGAAAGACAAAAGGGAGAGAGACATAGAAAAACAAAAGGGAGAAAGGTAAGGAAAGACAAAAGGGAGAAAGGTAAAGAAAGACAAAAGGGAGAGAGAGATAGAAAGACAAAAGGGAGAAATGTAAAGAAAGACAAAAGGGAGAGAGACATAGAAAGACAAAAGGGAGAAAGGTAAGGAAAGACAAAAGGGAGAAAGGTAAAGAAAGACAAAAGGGAGAGAGAGATAGAAAGACAAAAGGGAGAAAGGTAAAGAAAGACAAAAGGGAGAGAGACATAGAAAGACAAAAGGGAGAAATGTAAAGAAAGACAAAAGGGAGAAAGGTAAAGAAAGACAAAAGGGAGAGAGATAGAAAGACAAAGGTGGAGAGAGAGACATAGAAAGACAAAAGGGAGAAAGGTAAAAAAGAAAAGACAAAAGGGAGAAATGTAAAAGAAAAGACAAAGGAGAGAGAGATAGAAAGACAAAGGTGGAGAGAGAGACATAGAAAGACAAAAAAGGGAGAAAGGTAAAGAAAGACAAAAGAGAGAAAGGTAAAGAAAGACAAAAGGGAGAGAGAGATAGAAAGACAAAGGTGGAGAGAGAGAGACATAGAAAGACAAAAGGGAGAAAGGTAAAAGAAAGACAAAAGGGAGAAAGGTAAAGAAAGACAAAAGGGAGAGAGAGATAGAAAGACAAAAGTGAGAAATGTAAAGAAAGACAAAAGGGAGAGAGACATAGAAAGACAAAAGGGAGAAAGGTAAAGAAAGACAAAAGGGAGAAAGGTAAAGAAAGACAAAAGGGAGAAAGGTAAAGAAAGACAAAAGGGAGAGAGAGACATAGAAAGACAAAGGTGGAGAGAGAGACATAGAAAGACAAAAGGGAGAAAGGTAAAGAAAGACAAAAGGGAGAAAGGTAAAGAAAGACAAAAGGGAGAGAGAGATAGAAAGACAAAGGTGGAGAGAGAGACATAGAAAGACAAAAAGGAGAAAGGTAAAAAGAAAGACAAAAAGGAGAAAGGTAAAAAAAAAGACAAAAGGGAGAAAGGTAAAAAAAGAAAGACAAAAAGGAGAGAGAGATAGAAAGACAAAGGTGGAGAGAGAGAGACATAGAAAGACAAAAGGGAGAAAGGTAAAGAAAGACAAAAGGGAGAAAGGTAAAGAAAGACAAAAGGGAGAGAGAGATAGAAAGACAAAGGTGGAGAGAGAGACATAGAAAGACAAAAGGGAGAAAGGTAAAGAAAGACAAAAGGGAGATAGGTAAAGAAAGACAAAAGGGAGAAAGGTAAAGAAAGACAAAAGGGAGAGAGAGATAGAAAGACAAAGGTGGAGAGAGAGACATAGAAAGACAAAAGGGAGAAAGGTAAAAAAAGAAAGACAAAAGGAGAAAGGTAAAAAGAAAGACAAAAGGAGAGAGAGATAGAAAGACAAAGGTGGAGAGAGAGACATAGAAAGACAAAAGGGAGAAAGTAAAAAGAAAGACAAAAGGGAGAAAGTAAAAAAGAAAGACAAAAGGGAGAGAGAGATAGAAAGACAAAGGTGGGGGGAGAGAGACATAGAAAGACAAAAGGGAGAAAGGTAAAAGAAAGACAAAAGGGAGAAAGGTAAAAGAAAGACAAAAAAGGAGAGAGAGATAGAAAGACAAAGGTGGAGAGAGAGACATAGAAAGACAAAAGGGAGAAAGGTAAAGAAAGACAAAAGGGAGAAAGGTAAAGAAAGACAAAAGGGAGAAAGGTAAAGAAAGACAAAAGGGAGAGAGAGATAGAAAGACAAAGGTGGAGAGAGAGACATAGAAAGACAAAAGGGAGAAAGGTAAAGAAAGACAAAAGGGAGAAAGGTAAAGAAAGACAAAAGGGAGAGAGAGATAGAAAGACAAAGGTGGAGAGAGAGACATAGAAAGACAAAAGGGAGAAAGGTAAAAAAAGAAAGACAAAAGGGAGATAGGTAAAAAAAGACAAAGGGAGAAAGGTAAAGAAAGACAAAAGGGAGAGAGAGATAGAAAGACAAAGGTGGAGAGAGAGACATAGAAAGACAAAAAGGAGAAAGGTAAAAGAAAAAAAAAAGGGAGAAAGGTAAAAGAAAGACAAAAGGGAGAGAGAGATAGAAAGACAAAAGGTGGAGAGAGAGACATAGAAAGACAAAAGGGAGAAAGGTAAAGAAAGACAAAAGGGAGAAAGGTAAAGAAAGACAAAAGGGAGAGAGAGATAGAAAGACAAAGGTGGAGAGAGAGACATAGAAAGACAAAAGGGTGGTAGGCAAATAAAGGCAAAAGGGAGAAATGTAAGGAAAGACAAAAGGGAGAGAGACATAGAAAAACAAAAGGGAGAAATGTAAAGAAAGACAAAAGGGAGAGAGACATATAAAGAAAAAAGGGAGAAAGGTAAGAAAGACAAAAGAGTGAGAGACATAGAACGACAAAGGGGTGGTAGGCAAAGAAAGACAAAAGGGAGAACGGTAAAGAAAGACAAAAGGGAGAAAGGTAAAGAAAGACAAAAAGGGAGAAAGGCAAAGAAAAACAAAAGGGAGAGAGACCCATAGAAAGACAAAAGGGAGAGAGAGAGATATAGAATGACAAAATGGAGAGAGACATAGAGCGACAAAAGGGAGAGAGACATAGAAAGACAAAAGGAAGGTAGAGAAAAACAAAATAAAAAAAAGAATGAGAACAAAAAAGAGAGAGGATAGAAGAAAAGAATAAATAACGTATAAAAAGTGACAAAGGAAGGAATCAAGAGAAAAAAAAATGGTATTATTAAATAAAAAAAGAAAAGCAGAGAATAAAAGCAAAGAAGAAAAAATGTCAAAGTGTTAAATGAAGGCAGGAGACATTTAAGAGAGGTGACGTCGTGCACAGAAAAATAAAAGACATACGAATCAATGTTGTAATCTCTGAAACAGAATGTTCCTAAGTAATCACCCTAAATGTTGCTTTCTCTCAAATTCTTTAACTTCTAACTGTTTTTGGAATCAAAGACAGGCAGAATTTTACTGTCATAAGAATGTATGATGCATCAGTGTCAAAGTGTCTTTTTGATCTTGGATGAAGGTCATATCAATCGCAATTGCTAATCCCAAAGTAATAGATTTTTAACAGAAAGCTGGCTGAGGTAAGAGTGTATTTTATGCCAAGAATAGAGCAATGTGTAACTGTCAATTCTCACTAAAATCTTCCCTATCATAAAGAGCTCAACCCTCGCAGGATAACACAATCTTAGATAAATATCAGTCTTAACATCATCCTTATCAGTTCAATAGTCATGTTTTGCCTTTGGGTGGCAGTGCAGCTGATTAGATAACCAGATCCCCCTAAATATCTGGGTTGTATGCTGGAGAGGCATTCATCTATATGTAGTATGTCTTGGACGAAGCCTATTCCTCTCCAGATTAAACCACTACCAATGTCCTCCAACATGAATGCTCTTGCCTTGCTCACACACACATAGCTGTTTATTCCATCAAGGGGGGATTCTCAGCCCTGGCTGTTGACCAGTCTAGGAAGCTGTCCACTTAGTGTAGTTGCAGCACTAGCTGCATGCATAGCTATTGCTAACCCATTGTGTTATATGGGAGTTGACTCTACAATTCCTGTTTTTAATCTTGCTAGGTGTGTAGCCACCCTCTTCTCTATCATCTGTGGTAAGGACCACTTTAGTTGCCGATGACCCAGCTGTACAACAGTTAATACTAGGTTACATGATACCAATATCACCATAGAGTCACTTGACATAATATACCAGTAAATAAGTTCCCTATCCAAGTTGTCTCTTGCTAGACTTATCTAATCATTATCAATGACATTCTTACTAGTTTACATGCCCTTTGCTGCTTTATGCTGTTCAAAGTTCAAGTCTGTAGATATTTATCCTTATGACTACCTCAAGTCACAAAAAAATGCATCATATTACCAAGAATTTAATGCCTTTGTATACATTGAATCACTGAGGTATTAAGATGTTAAGGTAAAGTTCATAAAGATATTCCTGTGATGTGGAATGGCTCGTCAAATTACTTCATATTTATTTCGATTTTGAACTTATTTGTCAGAGAGGGCATTGATCGAGATTGTTCTCAGGAAAAGCTTAAATGATACAGGTCATTGCCGACTTACGACTGTTTGTCTTTACAAACACGTCTGTAAATTGGTATGTCTGGCCATCTCGTTATGACTTATCTGGTAGCATGAGCATTTCCAAGATTGGTTTACGATAATTTCTGCTCCATCTCTTGGCACCACTAGAATTCCCTTGTGCACCTCAAACTCAGTGTGAGGGGAGTCATGGTACAATTCACTTTCCCCAGAGTATGTTCATGTTTTTGAAATATTTCTTTGACTCCAAAAGAGGAAATTGTGTTTGTTTACTACACAACTTGCCTAGAATGAAAGAAAAGGCTATTGATCCCGACACAAAAATGATGAAGGTTGAACAGGAAGAAGGACGAATAAAAGTTAATGTGATCACACATGTTCTTTTTTTTTTCTTTTTTTTTTTAAGTGTTTCACCCCAAGCAAGGTGGGAAGCCACTAGGACACAAGGGGTTACAGAAAATTTGGAGCAAGATCAGATAAGAGTGATAGAAGAAAGGATGAGGGGAAGGGTCGTGGATAGATCAAGTCAACTGGAGATGTCGATTGACATTACATTTGAATAGCTGGAGATTATAGCTCTCAGGGAAACTGGAATAAGGAAGGGAGATCCACAGGCGAGAGGTGCGAGACATGAAGCTATTGGTGTAGAAGTGACAGCTACATTTAGGAGTTTCGATAGTGAAGGGGTGAGAGTGGGATGCCAGCCTCGTAGGGCGCTTGAACTCATGAAGTCTTGGAACCAGGGAATGCAGTTCCTCGGAGCCATTGCCATGAAAGTATTTGTAAAACAGACAGCGAGAGGCGACGGCGCATCTGTGAGAGAGTGACTGTAGACAAGATGCCAGATCAGGGCCAAGTTATCACACTCTAAAGTACCAATGACTTTGAAGGACAGAAAAAAAATTTGTAAAGCTGTGAAAGGTTCTGCACTTAGGTCTTGATCTGGCAATGTGATAGGTCCTGATCTGGCATCTCATCTACAGTCACTTTCTTGCAGACGTGATATGGCTTCACTGTCTTTTCTACAAATATTTTCATGGTAACTACTCTCATGAGATACTTTCGCTGGTACCCCAACTGCATGAATTTAAGTGTGCTACTCGGTTGACATCTCAGTCCCACCCTTTCACTGTTGAAACAGTTAAATGTAACTGCCTCTTCCACTTCAACAGCTTCTTTTCTCGCACTTCCCATCAGTGGATCTCCTTTCTTCTTACTTGCTTCCCTGATAACAATAATCTTCAAATATTCAAATGTAATGTCAATCGACATCTCCTGATGCCTTGATCCTGATCCCTGTCATTCTCTTTATCCTTTCCTCAAACACCTCCTCTTTACTCTGGCTGTCACCCTCTAACCCCTTGTGTGCTAGTGGCACTACCGCTTTGCAAGGTTTGGTTTGGTTTATTTTGTTTTACGGCATATCAACCTCAATGGGTTATTTAATGCTGACAACATTTTTAGGATAATTTTGTATAGATAGAATATGTATTCTTTGGTTTAGATTGGTTTGGTTTATTTTGTTTTACGGCATATCAACCTCAATGGGTTATTTAATGCTGACAACATTTTTAGGATAATTTTGTATGGATAGAGTATGTATTCTTTGGTTTAGATTGGTTTGGTTTATTTGGTTTTATGGTATATCAACCTCAATGCGTTATTTAATGCTGACAATATTTCTAGGATTATTTGGTATGAATAGAATATGTATTCTTTGGTTTAGATTGGTTTGGTCTATTTTGTTTTATGGCATATCAACCTCAATGGGTTATTTAATGCCGACAACATTCTTAGGATAATTTTGTATGGATAGAGTATGTATTCTTTGGTTTAGATTGGTTTGGTTTATTTGGTTTTATGGTATATCAACTTCAATGGGTTATTTAATGCTGACAACATTTTTAGGATAATTTTGTATGGATAGAGTATGTATTCTTTGGTTTAGATTGGTTTGGTTTATTCTGTTTTACGGCATATGAACCTCAATGGGTTATTTATTGCCGACAAAAATTTTATTGCTGGTAATATTTTGTTTTGTCAAAAATCTGTTTCTGGTAATATATTTCCTTCAAAATTCTATTGCTGGTAATAATTTTTTTTCAAATAAGTATTGCTGGTAATAGTTAACTATTTTCCCATAGCTGGGACCCTAACAGGTGCTACCACCCCGGGTCAGGGTGGACCTGGGAACACCAGCAATTAAGAGGTGGTTCCACACTCCTCAAAACCTCCCGCTGGACATAGTTTAACATCTTACCCAGGAAGCGGATGTAGGTTAATGTCTTACACAGGAAGTGGATGTAGTTTAACGTCTTACCCAGGACGCCCCTCCCCCCACGTTTTGTTTGGGGTGAAATGCTAAAAAAATAAAATAAAAAGTGAGCTACAGTTATAAAAAACAAAACTGTGTAGCGATATGATGTAAATGGTATCAAAAGCAAAGAAACCTTAAAAATTATTTTTAAAAATACAATAACCCTGAAAAAAGGATGAAAAGATTGCAAAATTAATTACAGACCTAGTCATGAATATATTGATTTACAACCAACAGGTTGTAACCAATCGTAATCATAAGTTGATGACGACCTGTAATGTGTTGAATCATAAATAATTTCCCTATTTGTTCATCAATTCTCTTCTTCCAAAATTAAAGTCCATTTATATTTTATTTAATTACATATCCACTATTATTTGAAATGACTTGTTGCCACTCATCAAGTTGCTCTTTGATACCTTTTGAGTAAAATTCTGCAGGTTTTGCTGTGAAAAATCTTTCAACAAACTCTTGATTTTGGTCTTTGTTAGTTGAAGGGTATCAGCCCAGATTAGAGACTGTTCGAGAAAATGAAAATAAAATATTTAAGCATTTCAACACCTGAAGCGATCATGACAATCCAAGCAAGATGACTGGATCTGACAGCTGGCTTAAAAATGGCTTTCTTAAAACAAAATTCTAGAAGCTGCTAAACTCATCTTTTGTTCATATTTTTTTGTGGTGGCAATGTTCATGATTATCTTATGCTTATATTTTTGAAGGAATTTGTTTTGGTGACTGGATTTGTTCTCCACTGCCTTAACCAGGTATTGAACTCACACTCTTTGGGTCCTGTCACTGGATCTAACTTAACCTGGATAAGGCAGTGGAGAACTTGGAGAGGGTAATTACCAGGAGATAACTGATAACTGACATCCATTAGACATGGCACATGGAACTATAACAGTCTACCCAAGCAAGCGAAATAAAGGGTTCAGTTTGATATTCCAACCACCTGAAGAAGGCCGGAGCATACAATGGCCGAAATGTTGGGATAAATAAGACAACAAAGATAAGGATGATAGTCTGAGCAATGTAAATAGCATTTTTTTCTCTGTAAATATTTACTGTAAAAAATATTTTCTCTCTTTTTTTTTTAAGGATTTTATATATGGCGAGGAATGGAGAATCGATCAGCCGAAATAATGTGTTAACAATGAATGTATGAAGGAGAAGTTCTGTTATCTGAACAAAATTTGAAACTGATTAAATGTTGTCCAAGTTTCCGACACTCAGATCTACAGCCGAGTTTCTTTATTAAGTATTGACATCATACAAATAAAAAAACAACACCAAAATCAAATTAAGTGTCTGTATCAATAAAGATAATTTCCTTTTGGAGATTTGCAAATATACCTCTACAGAAACCCTATCCCCAGGAGGGCAGGCCTGCGTAAACAGCAGTCTTCCCCCAAAACAAGACACTGTGGCTCTAACAATATTACGTATGCTGAAACATCACAAGTCTTATCTCCATTTACACAGCCATGATATTTGGCTGGCTGACCATAAAATCCAACATTACTGTCAATATATCTACATCTGTGGCTTTTCGTTTCTAATTTGCACTGTTTAAACAAATTAGGAAGGAGAATGCTATCTTCTTTCTTGCTTGACTTGCTGGCTTTTGGTGTTAACAAAATCGGTACAACATTTACAGAGACATATTGTAGTTGAGATTTGATTAATGTATCTCATAAGGAGTTTTCGGCCAAGAGTTAGCTTTGCTGAAAATGATATTATGGATGTTTCTCAAGTTGTAAATTATCCGTAAGTAAAATGGGCATGCTGCGTTCACCTGTACTTTTCTCTTCTTCATCTTTGTTGCTATAACTTGATTTTCTTCAAAGATAAGGATTTATGCCCCAGTATGACAACAGAGTAATAAGGCAAAGATTTTACAAAATAGTGATATCAGGTTGGAACCGAAGTTAGTAGCATGGTTTTTGAACAGTCATGGAAATATATCATTCTTCTATGGTTTAAGATAATACAACTAGGTTAAAATAGCCTGGGAAATGATGAAATTTCATTAAGGATCACTGTGAAAATTAATGAAACCTTTTGTTTGAATTTTCTAATAAATAGCAGTGATGGATGGCGAGATGTGAAGAATAAGAAATCTGGAAGATTAGTTAAATTCACTTATATTTCGACAAATACACTTAGGATAGGTGTGAAACCATCTCCCAGTTATAAGTTAAATAGTAGGGCTTGTATCTGGAAAAAATCATTTTTTCCTAAAAAGAATATGTTAATATCAAGACATTGAAACATCAGCATCATCTTGCGGCCTCAGCTGAGATTGAACTCACTACACCTTTCCAGTATTCCTTATCTGTCATAGCTAATACTTTTGATTGGTGCAGTTCGTAATCTTGTCAAATAGCTGAATTCTAGATGCTTCACTAGGGCTATCAAGGGTGTTTTTATCGTGACACCATCACTAAATGGATTGCCAACCAAGGCTCAGAGAGACTCCATTCACCCTCCGCAGGTTTTGAATTCAGAGTTTTCCTTCTCCTAGACCAGTTGCCATCCAAGGCTATAGAACCCAGTCTGTCCTGCTATTTACCCATAGCTGGAGGGAGAAGAAGAGGATTCACACCTTTCCCAAGGGTATTAGTACGTAAGTGAATGTAATAGATTCGACTGGAATTCGAACTCGGCTCTCCGATTCCTCAATCCAAGCCGCTATCCATTACTCCACATTGAAACATTTCAGCTTTAAATAATGCATAGAAGGTTGAGTCTTAAAAAAAATCAAATCAAAACTAATAAATTGCCAAAAAGGAAGAAAAGAAAGTAATTTCTTGTATTGCCACATCTGAATAAATCTCTTCAGGGATTCAGCCTTTGATGCTTCTGTTGTGAGCGACAAAAGTTATCTCCCCTTGGCTAAATAAAAAAACTAAATATAGATAATCATAAATAAAAAACAGTCATGTGACCTGATGTGAACTGCAGGAGACATAATTAAGCATGTAAAATAAACAGCCACTTTTAGCTCCAATCAGCAAAGTAAGCTGATGTGCGTGTTATTGTATCACCAAATATGGTGGCTATTAAAGTCTGTTTCTTTGCTTGTTGTGGTCACCAAATATGGTGACTGTTAAATTGTGAGTGTTTTTTTTTTTTAATTGTTCGTCATAGTCAGCAAATATGTTTTGCATAGACTTC